GTCTCCCGTGCTCTTCTCCTGAAGCCACTGCTGCCAAGGAGGGAGGAGCCCAGCCCCAGGGCTTCCTCTAGCCCTGACCTCTCAGAGGCCCAAGTTGAAACACCATGAACACCAACACTGGAGCATGCCCAACTGTGGACTTTTGAGGGACACATTCACACCACAGCATAACAGATTGCCAGTTTGGGCAAAAAGGACCCAAATACTCAGGGACACTTTGTGTCCTTCTGAAAAACTAAAGACTGAGAAATTTATCAACAATAAATACACCCCACTGCTTAAGGGAGAGCCTGGGCACTCTGACTGCTTCCTGCCTGAGAGTGGAGGCAGAAAGTCGGAGAAACAAGGCGGGCACTTGAGGTGGGATGCTGTTGGCTAGTATAAGGACCACCCAGCATTTCTGCTGCTAAAATCTGACAAGGGCCAAGGGGATGCAGCATGAAACACCAAAAGTAACATCGAGAATCTTGCATAGAACCAAAATGACGGAAATGGGAAGAGTTTCCTTCACATTCACGCATGCCCGGTCTATGGGAGGGGTTGGGAATAAATTATCCTTTCTCTAATTCTAGCAATGATTCATAAAATGAATGATTTTATCAGAGCCAACGAGGCAGCTCAGTGAGAAAGGGTGTTTGCGGCCAAACTTGACGACCTGAGTTCACATGTAGGAGAACCAGCTCTCCAAAATTCTCTTCTGAACTCCACGCTCCTTGTGTGTACACACACACATCCACACTTACCTACATGAATAAAAACTGTGTGTGAGGGGAAATGACCTCCCCACAGTTCTCTTGCTCTGATGCAACCCACGCACAAAGCAACACAGGAGTTCCCAGACTCCGTGTCTAACCTTAGCTGAGCACTCACTACTCAGCCCCCAAGTTAAGTTACCCTTTAATGTGTCTTGTGGAGTCTAGCAACCTAAGCCAGAAACAATAGGAGCCCTGGATAAATATTAACCAGAATTATTTTTCACTTGAGTGTTTATGACCTCTCCTGGCTACCACAAAGAAAGGGGTGTATAACACAAAAACTACTCTTGGGGGCCACAGGTGTAGCTCAGAAGTAGAACATGTGCTTAGCAGGTGTGAGGCCTGGGGTTCCGTTCATGTCACACGCATAAAAAAAAAAAAAAAGCTAACATTATTTTGGACTGAGGCCCAAGATTTCGTTTATCAAGTGGTGGAGCCAAGATTTAACCCTCAAATTAGGCAAACCGATTCCCAGTCGACAGACTAAGCTGCCATGAACTACACCCCTCTAGGGAAACTGGAGGCTTCTGTCTTATCATAATAGGATTGTGGGCATAGCCATAGAGTGCAGCACTAGGAAGGACACTTGGGAGCGCCAGGGCCCCTGCAGGCATCCACAACCAAAAACAAACAAACAAAACCCTCTGGGGCAACCCATTATCCTCTACCCCAAGACAAAGTGAATCCCGAGTACTGAAGACACCACCTTGTCAGTTACCACAGCCAAGTGCTCCCAGCAGATGGGGAGTGCTGAGTGGCAGGGATGAGGCCAGGCCTCTGCAAACACTGAATAATGGTGCCGGAGTTTGAGAACCTTGGATTGAGCTGTTTCAGCTTGGTTAGCTTTTTAGGGCATTGCAAAGAAATTAGATGTGGAGGGGGCAGGTGCGGCAGGGAGCAGCCACTGGGGCTGGAAGGCTGCCACACCACCTGCGATGGGAGAGAGCCGAGGAGGAAGCTCATTAACCATCCCCGGATCATTACCTCCTGCTCCCCAGGGGCACAATCACTGAGTGTGGACTTTCAGTTCTAGAGGTCTCTCTTCAAGGGTCCCTGTGGGCTGGAAGCAGAGCTCTCTGCCCAAGAAGGGATGGTACAAGCAAATCTTCCAGAGAGAGCCATCTGTAATTACTGTTTGGAAGACAACAAAGCCTGGTGTTTCCTGAAAATATTGTCTGCCCAGCTAGGGAAACTGAGGCTGGGGCTCAGAGAGGTAAATTAATTTTTCTAGGGCATAAAGTTTGAAAGTGGCAAAGGCAGAGATCCAAGAAATCTTTCTGCGTCCCCAGATCAGTCTCAACTGTTACACTGCTTGGAATCTTATATAATAGATTACAATAATTCCTGTAGCCAATGAGGGCATCCAGGAGTGGACAGAACCGCCCTCCACTGCAGGCAGAGACAGGAGAATGAGTGGCCTGGAAAAGCTGGTCAGCGTGCGGGGCTTATTGCAGGGGGCACTGGTGGTCCTTGTTTGCAGGGGGCATTGGTGGTCCTCATTTGCAGGGGGCACTGGTGGTCCATGTTCAGTAGGTAAATCAATTTATCTTTATTCACAGAGTGTCTCTACTTGCCAGGCCCTGGAGATAGAGAGTTGATGGAGGGAAACCGAGTCCCAGCTCTTGTGGAGAAGACAGGAAGGAGACAGTGTTAAATTCTGTGCCAACAAACTCAGAGGGTGCTGGGAAGGAAAGAGACAAGCAAGATGACATGCCCTGGGAAGGTCCTGCAGGTGGGTGACAATTGTCTGGAGGTTATATGGTGAGTGGTCACTCCAGGAAACATTCAGGGAACTGAACCTCAATTCAGGGAACAGCCAGAGATCCAAAGCAAGAACAAACTGGATACTGTGAGATCTGCACAGAAGCCGGGGAGTCTGAAGTTTACAAAGGTGGGGGAGCTAGATGAGAAATATCGAGTGGATGGGAAGTCTTTGTCACCACCCCACACCAAGGCCAAATGTCCCTTCTCAGTCTCCTCTGCCTGTTTTCCTTCCATCCCAGGGGTGGAACTCAGAGCTCTCTTAGAGTAGAGTTCTCTACCACTGAGCTACATCCCAGTCCTGGTTCTGACGTTCTATTCTGAATCAGAGTCCCTGAGTTGCCTGCCTGGGCTTTGAACTCACTGTAGTGCAGGAAGTGCTTGAACTTCTTGCCTCAGCCTCCTGAGTGGCTGGGATCATAGGCCTGAGCCACCAGGCCTGGCTGTAGTTCTAAGTTTCTTTACCAGGTTTGCTGAGTAGTCTCTGAACTTCAGGTGCCCTGCATAGATCTGGACACAATACTGATGCTTAACTGAACTATCTTTCCTGTTCATCTCTCATTGGCAATGTGGCAACTGTTGACAGAGTTTAGTTGCCAGCCCCTCTGGTCCCTGGAGTCAAAAAGTTACACTTAGCTTCCAACAAGATGAGCGCCACAGTCTTCCTAAGCTTTGCTCTCTGTAGAAGGTTGTTGAAGTCCTCTACTTGCCTACAGGTCAAGAAAACAGCAAAATTCTGGACTTTCATCTGCCTAGACCATTAGTTCTCAACCTGTGGGTCAGGACCCCTTTGTCAATATTTACATTATGATTTATAACAGTTGCAACATTACAGTTATGAAGTAGTGACGAAGTAAATTTTTGTCTAGGGGTCACCACAACATGAGGAGCTGTATCAAAGGGTCACAGCATTAGGAAGGTTGAGAACCACTGCTCTAGAGCCTTCTCCCAGAGCCATGTGGCTCACTTACACACTTCTCTTAAATCCTGGGCTCTGGGCACTCTTCCCTGATTGCTCTACCTTTCACTCCAGCGACTTCTACTCCCTCCTGCTTTGCCTTTCTACAGGGTGTTCATCCCACCTCACTGTTCCATCGTGGTTACACATTTACCTTGCTGGCTGCCTCTCTCTGCATCACAAGAACACACAGTCCACAAGCAATGGTATTTGTCGCAGACACAAATGAATGGATGATAACAGAGCAATGTAACTTCTCAAGGGGCAAAAGCTAAATCATATTGTGCCCCCCCAATAAAACTGTTTTCATTTCAATAATCATATCCAACATTTGCTGGCTAGAATTTCTAGAAGAAAGCCATTTCAAGGAGTACGCTAAGTATTTAAGCTTTTGCCTTGTTATCATTTTTAATTCCTGTTGGCAGGTATAGGGACATGCTGATCTTTCCGAGTTCACCGCCTTAAATGTTGCTGCAGCTTTCTGTGCTGTAGGCTTCTTCCATGGAACAGAGCCATCTAGTGAAACCCTCATCTCCCATTGCCTTTGTATTTGCAACTTTCCTTTTAAGGCTGAATTTAAATGAAATCTCGGTCTTTTTGTGTGAAAATGACTGGCGTGTAGATGCCTGAGCTTGGGCCACAGATCCCACAGTGAGAAGCACTGGGCTCCTTTTTATGAAGTTCAATTGATTTCAAGTTCATTTCCGTCTGGAAACTTTAGCTGAGGGGCTCGAGGGCCACATGCATAGTATCTTTCAGATTTTCTCAGCAGGGCTTTAAAATTCTGAAATGATGGGTAGTCGAGGATGAGAAGATGGGGACACCCCCGCCACAAGCAGCATGCTGCCTGTTCCTTCGCTCCATGATAACACCCTGCCCCTCTACCCCTTCCACTCAGTAATAGCGACTCAGACTAGTAGACAACGGCCCAAGACTCTTAGACAGTACATTATCCTGTAGCCTCCTTTTCTTCACAATGATTGGTTCAGAACTGAGCACACGACCCATACCTGACCAATCAACAGACAGTATTCCACTGGGAAGTGACTGGGAGCCCCTCAAAAGTCCCAAATCAAATCTCATGGAACTGACTTGTGTCTAGAGTCTGTGACTAAATTAGTCATTGTGGCCGGGAGCATATGGGTCCTGTTTGGATAGACTTGATCTATGCCCTCCCCGAGAGTCAGAGGGATGTGGTCCCACTTGGCTTCCAGATCTCCTAGACTTGTGGAACTGGTGCGCACTCGTGTGGCCACGCATCCCACCCTGACTGTGAGTGGCAGCATGGATTAGTAATCTTGTGTCGGGTGCTCCCATGGAACACGCTAGACCATGGCACTAGAGTCATCCAAGCAGCCCGAGCTCCAGAAGTCAAGGTCATTGGGTTCTCTCTCAGCTAGGGGAAAACACGGATTAATATGTGAGCTTAGGCAGAGCCTTGCCTCCTCCCCTCCTCTCCCTCCACTCCCCCAACCACTGACACTCAAAGAACCTTTTCATACATGCTTTAGAAGTAACAGAGTTCACAGACCATTTCCCCCTGTGATAACACTGCACAAATACACTACAATATGAAAACCAAGAGCTGGGCATGGGCACAATTCTCCATTCTTTGGAGGTGTCACAGGTTACATGTTTTGGTGTGTCCTGTGAACGCAAGTCTACAACATACATTGATTGTGTGAGCACCAGTATAGTTGATATCTATCAGCACAGAGCCCCATGAGGACTTTTGCATCCATGGGCTCCTGCCTCCTCCTGAGCTCTCCTCTTAGCAGCCACCATTCCTCCATTCTCCATCCCTGGCATATCAAAACCATAGAATAAAAATGTTGTTCCATGAAGCCTCCCTGGATTGGCATGGGGATTTTGCACTTAGCATGACTTCCTGGAAACTCAGCCTAGTGGTTAAACACGTTGACACTTTGCTCCTTATGTGTTTAGATTGCTGACGGGGAATTCACAGTACTGACGACACTTTACAGATGGCCACAGTCTGTTTAACTATTTGCCAATGGAGACCATTTGGGTTGTCTCCCATTAGGAGTGTTTATCAATGAAACTGCTATGAACAATCTTGCAGAGGCTTTTGAGTGCTCATCAGTCTCCACCTCTCTGGGGAAAACAGGACCCTTGTAATTTTGTAGGAAATTGTCCTCCCCTTTTTGAGAGCATGTCATCCTATTTTTGCCACCAACAATGACCAAGATTCCTAGGCCCTCCGCACCCTCAACAGCCGTTAGTGTTCCACTGTCTTGTATTTAGACTGTGACAATAGATGTGTGGTGTCATCTCATGGAGAGCTAATTTGCATTTCCAAATGGCTGATGGTGTTGAATATCTTCTCACAAACTTTGGCAAGGAAATTAACCTTGGTATCATATTCTCACCTAATAGGTGGAGGGTTAAAAATTAGGACAATAATTTATTATAATATTTACTGTATTGAAGTATTTGGGTGAGTTCTAGAGACGAACCCACTGGATGATTCTCCAAGAAACACTAGGAGCTGGGGAGATGCTCGGCAGGGAAAGTGCTGACCATGCAAGCACAAGGATCTACATTCAAATCTTCAGAACCCGCAGAAGAGCCAGGTGCAGCTGCACATGCTGATAATTGCAGGGCTGGGGATCAGGGACACAAGGATCCTCGGGGCTCATGAGCAAGCCAGCCAATCAGAAACTGAGTTTCAGGTTCAGAGGGAGCCAAAGGACCCGAGTAAGGAAAGACATGCTGATGTCACCCTTGGCCTCCACATGCACCTACACTGACAGGCAGAGACGGGTGAAGAGGTATAAGCTGTAACTAGTTTGGGGATGGTCGACACACCTATTATCCCAGCCTTAACAAGAGGATTGTGAGTATCTTGTGGGAGGGGGCCTTATAAGAAACATTAACCATTTTTATTCTGTAGAGAAAGGTAAGAAAAATTCTAACAGAATCCCACCCCACTAATGTTGAGAATCCTCTCCCTATACCTCACTGTGTTCTCACTACACTATAGAAAGACTATCATGCTTAATATTACAAGGTGGCCACAAGGATGAGACAGGTGAGACTTGGGAGGAATTAACACTGGTGTGTGTTCAGTTCTCTATTCCCTGGCGTTTAGCCTATCAGAGGCTCCAAGTAATCATTATTCTCTGTATTAGTTACTTTTCAGACAGAAGCAGCTAATGCAAGGAAGCACTTACTCTGGCTCATGCTTCAGGGGATAAAGGCCCATCTTGGCAGAAAGGGTGTGGCTCTGGGTGGATGAGTGTGCAATGACAGGAACTTGCTGTGTAGCAAATCAAGAAATGGTGACCTTGGACCAGAAGTGGGTCAGGCTATCACCACATCAGGCAGCCACGCCTCTCATCCCAAAGGTTCCATCCACAACCTCCCAGAACACCACCAGCTGGGGAGCAAGTGTTCAAACACACAAGCCATTTTTCACACCCAAACTATAACTTTATCCAGCTGACATTTTCTGCCTCTCCAGCCATCCCCCTCCAGTCACCAGAACCTCTGCTGGGACAGAGCGTGGGACCTCAGGGAGGACTGTTCCTTCGAGAATCACTGTTGCATCGGGGTGGCCCACTGTTCCCGGAGAAGAAACAAAGGGCTTGCCTGTGGAGCCGTGTGAGATCACATTTATCTGAGAAGCTTCCAAATGAAAACCAGCATTTGTACTTATTGCATTTTACCTCCAAATTTGATTACATTTCTCTCCTGCTGTAAATCTGCCTTCCTCTCTGCCAGCTTATTATTAAAGCCAGGACGGAATTGGTAGAGTGATACGTAAAATTTCCATCTTGGCTTTGACATCCCAGGAAGTTACGAAGCAATTACAGCTGCTGAGCCGAGGGCTCTGATGGATCACAGAGCACAGCAAGGGATGTAAGAGGCCAGGACCTGGAGGGAGAGAGATAGTGAGTTAAGAAACAAAGACCAATTAAATAAGACCATCCATTTTAATCTGCATGTTTTGCTTTATACTCCCTGTAAACAGAAATGTGAATGGGTCCTGTTCATTGGCGTGAGTGTGGTGTGGGAGTCTTGAAGACAATACCGACCTTTAAAATGGTTTCAGACGCTGAAAATTTTGAAATTTGAAATGTCCCAGGGAAGAAACAAACAAGATGATAACCTGCTCAAGTGTCAGAAGTTCTCTTGTAGATGTCAACAAAAAGCCACCGACACATACTTTGGGGGTTGTGGATCTAGTAATACCAGTTCCAGCTCTGGGAGCAGGCACCTCTATGGCTGAGGCCTCATGTCACCCATCAAGAGGGACCTGAGCTTGACCAAAGTGTGAGGAACTTTGTCATACCTTCATCATCAGGCAACAAGCATAACAGCCTGCCTGTGCTGACTACAGACAGAAGAAATACATAATGTGAAGATGCCAAGCTTGGGACCCAGCCAGGAGTTCAGTGGTGTTTGGACAGAGACACCCCCCACCCCAGTTGTATAGATGACCCAAGATACCTAGTTCAAATAGACTCAACTTAATTGTGCCCGCCTTCCTGGAGAGGTTTTAGCTTCCAAAACAGTTGAATTTTACTTCCCCTGGTGGGCTTGCTGGTGTTCCTCTCCTATAGGCAAATGGATGGAATTCAGTACCGTGGACAGCAAGGGTCCTGCCTGCCTGATTACTGATTGACATATGGGTGCCTTCCCTGACCACTGCCGCACCTGGTTCAAAGACCTCCTACAAGCTATAAATTTGATTTAGCACCAGGCCACCATCTTATAGGTCTCACTCCCATCATAGAGGTCCTTTGATTCCTAGTTCTTATTTCATTTCTTCAGTTTGAGGCAGGCCTTCCTCCAGAAGCAATTCCTCATCTTCTCCTTTGAGGTCTGCTCGGTCTGTAGGTGAGATGAGGAAAGAGTGAGGCCATGAACGGAAAACTAACACAATTTCTGAGAGCAGCCATGTTGGATGAGGCAAGAGACATGTGGTAGAATGCCTAGCACATTCAACCGCCAGGAAAGTCAGGACCAGAAAGAGGCAACTTGCAGTGAGTGAATCAGTGTGGTTCAAGAATAAGACCATGAGCAGTGAGGGGACACAGCACACATCCTCATCCTCCCTGGGACGAGAGGCATGCAGGAGAAGGTAGGTCATTTCAAAAGATCTGAGCCAAACCACCAGCATGCTCATCTAGGAAACAGGAGTAAGAAATAGAACAAGGCTCAGGTTAGTGGGTGAGGAGGAGTGTTTCCAAAAAGGCAAACATTTGTTTACCTCTCCCCCCCCCCTCTGCATCAATATCGCCTGGGATCTGGGGAGTGGAATTCTAGCAAAGGTAGCTGTGATAAGCACCAAGGGGTTCCCAAGAGAGGAGAAAGCCTCTGGACATTCTCTTGCTCCATTCTTCCACTTCTCTACAACAAAGGCTGGGAAACTGTGTATGCCTAGGGGAGAGATCTCTAATGAGACACAGGATGTACCTGGGAGAGTCTCAAAAGATGTGCTAGCTGGGGTGAGGGGTGGGGGGTGGGAGGTCGGGTCTTGGCCTTCAATCCAAAGGAAGGCAGAAAGCAATAGCTAGGCACAGCATAGCTCTGCTTGGCAGCGATCAACATCTGATAATTCGTTTGCCACGTCTGACTCCTAGGAACACCTGCTCCTCTGGTCCCTGTGCATCTGATGTTGTCCTTGAAACCAGAATCCCAGCTTCCCAGGGAGGAGGTGGCAAAAAAAGCAGCTGGCAGAAGTCCCAACTGACCCTCCCTTCCCCTCCCATCTTGGTACCTTTGCTAGAGAAGGCCAGGGCATAGGCTGCTTCCTCTTTCCCTCCACACCTGAGGTTCTGTGTGGCCTGTGTTCTGAGTGATCAAACTGGGGCTTCAGACCAGAGGAAGGAATTGCTGCTTATTTCTCTGATTCTTTACACTATGCTTCTAAATCTAGACTAAATCATACTGCAAAAGGTTTCCTAATTGTCCCTCTATCTCGGTTTCTCAAAGTACGGCCTGGGAGAAGCAGCCTCTCAGATCTTCCTTGAAATGCCAGCTGTTAGGTTCCACCCCCATCCTACTAAAACGGAGCTGGTGTTAGGGCCAGTCTGTGAGCAAACCATTGTGAACTGAAGCTCCATGGAAAAAGCCATATCAGTGTGAGAGGATCTCCAGACTGATGGACTTATCAGAACATAGTGAGTTTAAAGACTGGGGAGCTGGCTCAGTAAAGTACTTATGGTGCAAGCCTGAGGACCTGAGATTGCTACCCAGAACTGACATTAAATGTCGGATATGATGGTGTGCACTTGTAATCCAGGGACTGGGAAAGCATACCAGCCTAATCTAATTGGTGAGCCACAATGTATAATGAGAGCCTATCTCAAAAAAATTAAATAAAGTGGTCAACTCCTGAAGACTGACACCAAGGCTTACCTCTGACACCCACGCCCACACCCCACAGTAACACCCACGCCCACACCTCACAGTAACAGGTTTGTTCCTAACTTAGTAATTATGGAAAGTCTGGATGCTGGATGCTATAGATCAAGAAACAAAATTATCTTGGGCTATCTTTGCTTTTCTGAAATGCCACTTATCATTCACATTTTCTCAGAAAGTTCTGAGAATCTCAGACAATGTGTTTTGATCATAGTTACCCCTCCCCCAACTCCTCCAAAATCCACTCATCCCCTCCTTTAACAGCCCAACTTTATGTCCTCTCTTTCTAATTTTTTAAGACTCATCAAGTCCAATTTGTGCTGCCCACATATTGCCAGGCCACTGGGATGTGGTTGACCTATCAACGGCCATAAAAGAAAACTGACTCTCATCCTCCCAGCAACTATCAAAATCCAACAGATCCTCAGGTGGGACTCTATGCTGGATCTTGTTCAAGTTTTGCACATGCAACCACAACCACTGCGAGTTCATATGTGCAGCTGCCCTGGTGTGCCTGGAAAAGAGTGTTTCTTTTCGTATAGTCATTCACAACTTATGGCTCTTACGTTCTTCAGAAATGATCCCTAAACATTGGTGGGAGGGGGTGGAGGCGATACAAGTGGCCCATTTAGAGCTGGATACTCCAGTCTCTTATTCTTGGTACCTTTTGCCAGCTGTGACTCTGTGTTAATCACCCTACTGTAAAAAGATGCTATCCTGATGAGGGTCTAGAAATGGGCAGAATGCTGAGTAATCAGGATTTGGTTTAGTACTATGTCCATATTAGTCAGGGTTCTCTAAAGGAACAGAACTGATAGGATGGATGGATAGATAGATAGATAGATAGATAGATAGATAGATAGATAGATAGATGATAGATAGACAGATAGAGATAGATAGATATGGATTTTTTATATTGGCTTACAGGATGTGGTTCAACAATGGCCGTCTCACATTAGAAAAGCCAAGAATCCAGTTGCTGTTCAGCCTATGAGACTGAATGTCTCAGCAGTTCCCATCTGATGCTGGGGGCCTTGAGGATTCTTAAAGAGCTGCTGGTCTTCAGTCTATGCTGGAATCCTGGGGAAGCCGGTGAAGAAAAATGCAGAAATAGGGTAGATAAACTTGCCAGCAGGAGTAAGGGCAACTGGGCACAAAGGAAACAGTCCTTCTTCCGCATCCTCTTATCTAGGCTGCACCAGAAGGTGTGGTTCAAACTGAGGGTGGGCCTTCCTGCTTCAAATAATCTAACCAAGAAAAATCCCTCCCAGGAATTCCCAGTAGCTTGGATTTTAGTTGATTCCAGCTGTGGTCAAGTTTGCCACCAAGATTATCCATCATAGTCCATTTAGTAGAACAATCATGGTATGTGCTTCCCTAGGACTTAGGAGATGTTTGGCCACATGGTTTTGGCCCTGATAGCAGCTCTAAGCATGAGTTCCATCTTGGAAGTCTTAAACGCAATCAGAAAGTACTCCCATAACATAAGTGCCATTATTGCACCAGTGGACAAGTCTTGCCAGATCAGTCATTGCTCTTGCTCATGGGGTCACAGTTGAGCATGGTTAATGATTAATTTCTCCTCGAGTAGCATGCATAGCTCCTTCCAGCACTATGACAGTTGACGAGTAGGAATAAAGCTTCCAGGTTGGTACCAACTTGATTTCTCCATGTTCCATCGTTCAAGTATGTGATGCCATCAGGATGGGTCTTCTACACACACACACACACACACACACACACACACACACACACACACACAATAGGATGATTCCACTTTAAATATAGATATAGACATGGAAGCTTCTTGTAATGGCTACTCTTGGTTATCAAATTAACTACATCTGGAATTAACTAAAACCCAAGGCACTGGGCATACCTGTGAGGGATTTTTCTTGATCAAATAATTCAAGATGAAAGATTCATCTTAACTCGGTGTGACACCTTTTGGTGGCAGCTTATATAAAGGACATGAAGAAGAAAGTACTTTATCTTTTTCTGTTGGCCCTCACTCTCGTGGGCAGGTTTTTTTCACTGGTATTAGATCCTACTTCTTTGGAATTCCAGCATATACTGGACACCAGCAGATACATCCAGTCTTGTTGTTGTTAGAATAGTTGGACCATGACTTATAACCCACTTTAATAAATCCTGTTTCTGTATAGAAAGTGATTCATCCTATAAGTTCTGTTTCTCTAGAGAACCCTGGCTAATATACTTCTATAGTAGTAGATTCCCATAAGATTTTTTGAAAGATCCTTTTTGTAAGATTTTTCTTTGGGCCATCATCTCACACATACACACACACACAAAAAAAAAAAAACAATGTGGGGACTTATTATTGATTATGAAAACTTGACCACAGCTTAGGCTTGTTCCTAACTAGTTCTTATAACTTAGATTAACACATATCTTTAATCTACATTCTTTTATTTGGCTCTGTTAACTTTACTCTGTACTCCCCATTCTGCAACTGGCAACAACCTTTTCTTCTTTCCATAACTCTCTGTTTCCAGAAGTTCCACCTAACCTCTTCCTGCCTAGCTAATGGCCATTTAGCTCCTTATTAAATCAATCACAGTGACACATCTTCACATACTGTAAAGGAATATTCCACAACATTTTCCCCTTTTTGTCGAAATAAAAAGGAAAGGTTTTAATGCTAACATAATAAAACTATAAACAATAAGAATAATTTTCAGGGGGGGCTGGAGAGATAGCTCAGAGGTTAAGAGCATTGCCTGCTCTTCCAAAAGTCCTGAGTTCAATTCCCAGCAACCACATGGTGGCTCACAACCATCTGTGCCCTCTTCTGGCCTGCAGGCATACACATAGACAGAATATTGTATACATAATAAATAAATATTAAAAAAGAATAATTTTCAGGTAAGGATTAAATTTATAATGTCCTGTCCATTTACATTGGCAAATTTAAAGAAATACTTTTTTATCTATACTATGGCAAATTTAGAGAAAACTTATTATCTATCCTACCTCAGTCCAAAGTTCTGTATGTAAATCATTTCATCAAAACATGTATTACCATCCTAAAAATATCTTTTGAGATCTTAAAACATCTTTTCAGATAAACTTAAGCTTTTATGTTTTCCAACCTTATAAACTTTACATCTCTTACATAATTTGGTAACAAGGGAAACTAGCTCAGTCAGTAGAGTATGAAACTCTCAATCTCAGAGTTGTGGGTTCAAGTCTCACACTGGATGCCATTTGCAGGCAGATTTTTCTTTTGGGCTGCCAGATCACAAAAAAAAAAACAACCAGGAGATTTATTATTAATTATGAAAGCCTGACCTTAGCTTAGGCTTGTCTCTAACTAGCTCCTATAACTTAAATTAACCTGTATTTTTTAAATCTATGTTCTTCCACATGCTCATTACCTCATATCCGTTTTGTCCATCATGCTTCTTCTGCATCTGGTTGGCAACTCCACCTTTCTTCTTCACAGAGTTCTCTCTACCCAGAGGTCTCCCTATACCCCTGCCTAGTTATTGACCATTCAGTTTGTTATTATACCAATCACAGTGACATATCTTTACACAGTGTAATCAAATATAACATTTATTATTAGTTATCCCTCCCTTTATTCCTTCCTCTGTCCTGCCTTCCAATCTTCTACCTCAACCCTTTCTGTTCCATTATTACCCTTTACCTTTTTATTCACATAATTTTATTGATTCTTTGGGAATTTCATATCATAAACCCCAATTCCACTCATTTTCCTGTCCCTCCATATCTGCTCTTCACCCATGTAGTGTCTCCCACAAAGGAAAACTGCAAAATAAATTATAAAAAAGTGAATTAATTAATTAAAACCACAAGTAAGAATATTAATTTTAAGATAAACAAGTAAAGATAGAAAACCAAGAAAGCAAACAAACAAAAAACCCCACTTGGATCCTCTGTCTTTCCCGCCTCTCCATCACCTCTTCATTCATCTTGGTGGCACTGGGAGCTGTTGTGTATCCTGCAGTTGACCCTTTGTCCCCATAGCTTTACTTGCAAATGTTCATTGATTACTGTGTCTGGTAGGTTCAAGGTCTCTGGCTTCTGGTACACCATCAAATACTGGACCCTCATGGAAACTCCCTCAGATATCCTGCAGTTGCCCCTACTTATGGAGATCCTGTGGCTATAGTTCTGCAGGCCAGTTCCTTCACACATTCAAGCTGGTCACAGATGGGGTAGATGTTGGGAAGTGCCCACTCAACTTCTGGATGTATGTCTAGGTAGTAGCTGGGTTGTTTTGACCGGGCCACAGGGACCTCCCCTCTTAGGTGAGAGGTAGAGCTAGCTCTCCCACACCTGTAGTAGGAGGTTAGACCAACTTTCCCAAGAGGGGGCATGGCTCTCCTATTAGGGCCAGCTTTCCCCTGCCAGGATCATTGGGGTCCATTATCCCAGGGACCATAAGAAGTGGGGTCAGCTTTCTGATGAGAAGGGGCCAGCTCTTCTCAAGCCAGTGAGAGACAGGGCAGTTCTGTGAGGCCCTAATACTACAACACATGGTTTAACACATGGTTCACATGAGCCCCTGTGGTAACACAGACAATGAACCTCAACTCAGATCCCAGCTGTGGCAGGACCACAGACCCAGATGTGATCATTGGCAACAGCCCAGGGCCTGATGTCACCATGATTCTGGATGGCAGCACAAGTCAATCAGATCAGCATCACCCCAGGTGCAAGGTGGCCCTCAGATACCAACATGACCCCAGGTGGCAGCCCAGACCCCGAGCATCCACATCGTTTTGGTGCTAACAGGAGCCATGGACATTAACACAGACCTTGGCTGCAGTAGGGCCAGGAACCCTTAGACATGGCTCTCCGTTGCAACTCAAGCCCTGATGTCTCCATGACCCTGGGTGTGGCAGCTCAGGCTGCTCAGATAGGGATGGCCCTTGCAGTGGCATGGCCCTTGGGCACTAATGTGACCTCATGCAGTGGCCCAGACCCTGGCATCCTTGCTGCCTTTGGTGGTAACAGGAGCCCTGGTCATCAACAAAGACCATGACCGCAGCAGGGTCATGCACCAGACATGGCCCTTGGCAGAAGCCCAGGACCAGACATCACCATGGCCCCAGGTGGTAAACAGGCCTTCCACATCAGCCCATTCCTTGCCTTCTTCAAATCTGCCTCTCTCCACAAGACACCAACCCCTCTGCCTCTCTCTCCTATGCCCACCGTACATTTGCTCACCATAATGGCACCTGACTGCCCATCATTCCTGCCTAGGGCAAATGGCTCTGGGTGTGTCTGCATTTTCACCTGCTTGGTTCTTACGTTACTGAGCAGGCTCATGGTTTCTTCTCCCCACCTAAGGCAAAACCCTCATTTTAATCTTTCTACCAGTACATTCTATCTCCTCTTTCTTGAAAGCCCTGGCTCCTCTGTCCCCTGACTAGTTTCCTGAGCTCCATAGGAATCCCAAACGAAACACACAACACACGTATCTAAAGATTCAAAATTAGCATCTCCAGATGAGGAGAACATATGATGTTCATCTTTCTGGGTTTGGGTAACCTCACTCAGAATAATTGTTTCCAGCTCCATCCACTTACCTGTGAATTGCCTAACTTCACTTTCTAAACAGCGGAATGACGCTCCATTGTGTAGATGCACCACACTGTTGTCACCCTTTCATCAGTTGGCTGACCTCTGTTTGCATTTCCTGGCTGTTGTGAACACAGCAGCAGTGAGCACGGTTGAGTCACCTCTGTTGTAGAATAGAGTCCTTTGGGTGTGGCCCCAGAGTGCTCTAACTAGACCACATGGTGGTCTTTCTGGTGCTCTGAGGAACCTGCACACTGATGTCCACAGTGGCCTCATCGGTCTACAATCCCACTAACAGCTAATAAGTCTTCCACTTTTGCCACCATGGGAGAACCAGCATTTGCTGTCTTTTGGGTTTGTTCTTGCTTATCTTAGCCATTTTGAGTGGGGTAAGATGAAATCCCAAAGCAGTTTTAATTTGCATTTCCCTGCTGGCCAAGGATGTTTGATCATTCTAACAGTGTTGCTCGTCATTCGTCTTACACTTTTGGAGAACTCCCTGTTTAGTTCCATGCCCCAGTTTTTAAATGTGTTCTTTGTTTTCTTGATGCTTAGTTTTCCTTTTGGCTATCAGATAAAAAAAAAAGAAAAGAAAAAAAAAAACCCTTTCAATGTATTCACTCAGCAAACCTCTAGCTTCCACCATCGCCAAAGTAAGAATGTCTTCAGATAGCATCTAGGACCCATAGAGAAATCTCCCTGCTTGGCTGTGACTTACCTGTCTGATGCCCCGACCAAGGGCTTCTGGTAAATGCATTGATGTATAACTTTATTTTCTTCTGTGACTAGGGAAGCTGCATGTAATCTCCCACAGCAGAATAGGTCAGGAGGGCAAAGTGACTCCATTTCCTGGATGGATTCTCTCACATGTGGCTCAAAATAAACTCTCTTCTTCCCTTCAGAGCAAGCACTGTGCTTGCAAGGACATCCTCTGCAGCTGGTCTGGAAGCACACTACAACGTGAGAACATCTTTCTACAGGAGTGACAGAAGGAGAAAAGCTAGGCCACCATTCCAATTGGTCACCCTGGCTGGTAGTCTCCACTCTAATGCAGTGTGCCCAACCTTCCTAATGCTGTGACCCTTTAACACAGTTCCTCATGTTGCGGCGGTCCCCAAACATAAAATTATTTTCATTGCTACTTCATAACTGGAATTTTGATACTGTTATTAATTGTAATGTAAATAGCTTATATGCAGATGGTCTTAGGTGGCCCCTGTAAAAGGATTGTTCTACCCCCTCCAAGAGTCACAACCTGTTGGTTGAGAACCCCAGAACTTGCCCCGTTGGTCAGTCTAGCTGGCAGGGTCCTAGATTATGTCCATATTTTTCCTACAACAGAAAATGTATATTTGAACAATCTTTCACGTGCATCTTCATCGTCCCACACAAGGGTTTCTCCGAGCACGCTCTTAAAAATAGAATCACTAGAGTGGATAATGTACACAGCGAGATGTTAATACACATGCAGAATGGACTTGCTGAAAGGGTGTGTTCCCAGCCTCGATGAAGAGCCGCGCCCCACCTGCCAGCCTCTCTAGCATAAACCAAGTCTTCTCGGTGTTCTCATTTGCTCTTCCACTCTGAAAGATGGAGATGATGCTGCGTGCTGATTTGCATTTCTTTCAGCGGGGCACCGAGCACCTTTTCTCATGGATATCAGCTATTTTGGCGCTACTGCTTTCTGATTATCTCTGTTTGCAACAATCAAGGTGCCTGACTCCGTAATTCTGAAAAGAGAGAAAGGGCAGAAAACTCTAGGCCCCTTCTCTCCTGTGAAATACAATCTATCTAAGGGCACAGAGGTTTGAGTGTCACATGTAGGGTGAGAGGTTTGCACAGGGTAATGACATTGCAGAACACAGACTGCTACAACTGCAGAAGTCCCCAGACAAACCCTAGTGAGGTGTCACTGCACTGAATGATTTGCTCATGCTGAGGCTCCCAAACCACTGACTCCCAGCCCAGCCTTCCCTCTTCTATCAGGCACCTGTCCTGTGAAAACACAGATGCTGGGTTTGGGTAGTCGCTGCCTCAGTCTCTCCCAGCTAGATAAGAAGCTCCTGTGCTTGTGGCCTTCGGCACACAGCCTCGTCATTGACCCTGGAAGAGGTGGTACCCAGATTTGGACCAAATGTGTTATCACAAGGTTGAAGAGGGAGCAGAGCCAACGCTGCGGCAGCCACAGGCTCCTAATTCACAGGAAATGGAAAATTATCTAATAATAAACCTCCACACACAAACCTGACATACCCACACATTCACACGTCTCAGACTAAATAAATGTACTAATGCTGACTTATCCCATGATAATGGCTTTTCCAGGGCAATCTACTTTCAACTACCATGGATTTTGGAGCAGGACGACTAAACTAACTCTGTCTCATTACCTCGGAGTCCCATTACCTTGGAAAATAGGTCTTTTTGACCAGTATTCTCGTGTGTGTGTATGTGTGTGTGTGTGTATGTGTGCATGTGTGTGTAAATGCATATGAGTGTAAGTGTACAGGTACACACACCATGTTGAAGCCAGAAGAGGGTGATGGATATCTTCTATCACTCTTATTCCCTCCAGACAGGGTTTCCCACTGAACTGGAAGCTGCCTGGTTTGCCTACACTGGCTGGCCAGCAAGCATCCAGGGTCTGTCTCTACCACAGACTGTTGGGGTTACAGTCATTTTCAGCCACGCCTGACTTCTTTACATAGATTCTGGGATTTAAGCTCGGTGCTCATGGTTGCACAGTGAGTACTCTTGCCCACTGAACCATCTGTCAGCCCCATTCTCATTTCATAAGTGGAACAACACCACAGCAGATCAGTCAGGACATGTCAAGAACATGACAAAGGACAGCAAAGAAGGCTGATTACCCTTCCTCTCGTGACAGGAAGAGTCAGAACCTGGATAGAATGGCACAATTGCCACGAGAAACAGAATTCCATCCACTTCTAGGCTGTGGACCATCACCATGGCATCCAGTAGAAGCCAAAATGTACCACATGCTCCCTCCCACCAGCCCCTGGCCCTAGCCCAAGGCTGAATGTACTGAGACAGAATCCCATGTTCTGTGTGATAATGGCCGTGTCTACCTACAGAAAATTCACACAAAGCCACTGTAGTGGCTGGCTGTATTGCTGTTACTGTGGCCCTTCTGGTCTCTCCTATCCCCTAAGACACAGAGACTAACAACTTCGCACAGGCTTACTCCAACAGGGCATCTGAAGAGCAGATCTTTTGCCTTATGAATCATAAGTCCCTCACAACATTCAAAGTTGCTTCCTGATGGTGTGAGCTCTCTGTGAGTTGGGATACAAAGCAGATAGACTACCAGTTTAAAGTGTTTGGCCATCATTGTGAATTCAGGAGCACCCAGATAGGGTTATTCACAAGCCCAGTTTCAGCCCCCAAAACTGAACACCTTTGCCCTGCTTTGGCCTCTTGCCTTTAAAGATCCCCAGGAGCTCAGCTGTGGGATGCTCAGGGAGGTTCCCAGGCCAGGTACCAATCCTCTCTTGGCCCACCTCTGCTTAACTGGGAAAAATAAAAGATGCCTACCAAGTGCCTGCTTTACTCCCAACCCTACAAATATCCAACCCAAAGGAGAGCCCGTCTAATTTATTCTGAGATGATTTAAATCTATTTAAATTAAAAAAAAAACATTTCTGCAGCTTTTGAGCTTCAGAGAGAAATGAGAGGTGTGAATGACTCCGTAGAAGAAGATAAATCTATGGCTCAGGAAAGGGAGGAGATCAAAGGGGGCTTGAATTCTGGATACTCAGCTGGGTGTATAGCTATTAAACAGGCAAGGACCGGAAGAGAGATTTCCGAGGTCAAGTGAAGAGGAAGGAATGCTCTTGTTTGTATTGCTTGTTTATGTTTTCTGTGTTGAACTGAATGAGGGACTGTGGAGGAAGAAGAGCTGTTAGCAATGAAACTGCAATGTGAGGACACGGAGCTCCGTGATAGGTTGCTGAGCTCTCACCAAAAAGCCTGATGACCTAAGTTTGATCCTTGGAACCTACACGGTGGAAGGAGATAACTGACTGCTACGACTTGTTTTCTGACCTCCACACATATCTGAGAAAGAGAGGGAGGGAGGGAGGGAGGGAGGGAGGGAGGGAGGGAGGAGAGAGAGAGGTCAG